GCCATGCCTCACACAATTCATGGTTCCCTTGGAGTTTAGCTGCTATCTTCACAGTAGCAGGGAAGGATTTTCCCAACAATAACATATAGTTGTGAGTAATGCATGTGATAATGCAGACTTTTTCAGCCTGGTTTGAATATAGATTTTTTAAAAAGTAAACTTACTGCTCCTAATGGAGATTAAAATTGCTAGATTTTTTTTTCTGGAGGAGGTAATGCAATATGTTTGTATTCTCCTTAGGGCTGTGGCTGCAGGGACTATCATGATGACCTAATTCACATGACATGACAACCCATTGGTTAAATAACCACAGACTTTCATGCATAACTAGGAGAAAGCACAATCTTTCTCACACGGGTAACACAACCTCCCGTGTGCCCTCCTGCTCAGCAATCTATAAGCTGCTCCATCGTAGGTTGCTGTGCTTGTCATCAAAACCCCGACTGCTAGGTTATTTAAGGGTTAAACAATCCAGTGGTTAACCCATGGCTTGTTGATTGGTTAAGCAGTCCAGGTTCACATGGCATGCTCAGCAACCTATGATGAAATTGTTTATGAATTACTGAGTAAAAGTGTTACGTACTCTTTCCTGCTCACATATGACAGCCCACAGACTATTGTGTTGTATGAACTGGGACTTCCCAATTTACCACTACAGTTGTCTGAACTGAAGAAAACCAAACTGTTCAAAGGAGTGCTGGAAGTGGGAGTATCACATCACTCATCCACCTCCTCCTACTTGCTGTGGGGCAAAATGGGTTCCAACTAGTGGGGGAAGCAACCATGGGGGGAGAAAGGGCAGGAGCTGCCGCCGCTTGCTTCTCCTTTATAGCTGTGGGGACAACACCAGGCTAAAGAAATACAAGTTAAAAACCCACAGGCTTGAAGCCAGTTGGAGGAGAAACACAACAATGGTTACTCAGTTATTTCATTTTTCTGGAGGGAAACTCTAACAAGATTCTTGCAAGGTTACAAGCTTGCACAACTTAGTTGCAGATTATTATTATTATTATTATTATTATTATTATTATTATTTGCACCATTTGGCCATATGCCTTTGTTTATTGAAAAATCAGAGCTCCACAAGGTGACTTTTAAACTGAGGGGATGTGTTGACATGACAACAAGTTGAGGATTGAGAAAAGTCATCGAAGTTAAGGCAAGCAAGCCAGGGCAGCAGTGGCTGTGACTTTTGCAAAATGAATGGTCACCCCCTTCCTCAGCCAAACCAGCTCCATTTAGTGCAGGGCACACAAAAACTAATTTTTAAAAAAATAACCCCAATCAAGGAGTGTTTCATAGTTTGCAATTATGTTTGTGGGTGTAGGAGTGTTAACCCCAGCATGCTCATCTTCAAATAAATAAGCCAAATTTCAGAAAGGACCCCTGAATTCCAGAGTTGATTCAGTACATTGAATTATCAAAAAAAAAAAAAAAAGTCAGTAATATGTGTTCTCTTCCTCTCTGCACCAAGGATTTTTAAATCAAAGGATGGTGAATTTTTCCTCTGTCAAGGGCTTTTGACCCACAGGAAGAACAAACTCAGTTGAAGGACTCTGATTGATCTTGTCTGTGGGTCAATGGTCTGGGGAACACCTTTGAAAGCACAGACTGGGTTGGTTGGTTGCCAGCCAATCTGCACCTTAGTTGAAAGGCTGCCCAACATTGAGAAGAGAGAACTTTGAAACTGTGGATCAGACAGCTGATGGGAAAGGGTTCTGCCTGGGGAACCTTTGAGAGCCATATCTGGTCCGTAGGCTAGAAGTTTCCACCTGTTTTTGCCCCTTGTTCCTTGTGTGAAAAACAGAAGCTCTCACAGAACCTGCACTGTGCCCTGCAGCCTTTACTCCAAATCTTAATATTTATTTTATACATTTTGTATATTTTGTACATTTATATTATATTTTTAAACATGTGTCCTGTCTGTCTTTATAAAGTACACTCAACATGACTTGCAAGCAAAGCTTTAAAGGAACCAAACCTAACATCTTACAAAATTAGGAACACAATGCAGACCAAGACCACCTTGCAGCAGACAGAAAAGACAGTCATATCTAGCAACACAGTGATGTGTTGCTAATGATGTTCCCACCAGTGCTGTCCCTTTAACCTAGCCTTCCCTAAGCCAGTGCTCTTCATGTTAAGCATGTTTGGACTTCAGTTCCCATTATTTGCATCAGCATGGCCATTGGACAACACAGCTGGAGGATACCAGGCTGGGGAAGACAGCTTTCATATAATTCCTCCTGGTGTGGGGGGATTACTGGTGGGATCCAGCTAAAGCATTTTGCTCCAAAACTACCTTTAAAAAACCCTATGAACCATACAAATAACAGCTACACACCCCAGGAGTAAATGGCAAACTGTTCTTGCATCCATGACATTTCTACCACCCGACGGACTTCAGAATGGAGGGTGGGCAAAACAAATGTGTATGTCCCTGAAGAGACAAGGCTAGGCTGACATGAGATACCCCAAGTAGGAGAGCCAAACACGATACCTGACCATGGAGGAGTTATTTCTAGAATGGAAAGTAACTTTCCTCCAACACACGGCTTGGTCATGGAAACAGACACAGCGATCAATATGGTTATGCCCAGCAATGGATCAAAGGACTGGTTAGCACAGTGCTGGGGAGATGGCATCCAGGGCTTCTCAGCATTCTGACTCAAACACAGGGAGAGGTCTTCTCATGACCTGCTAATCCCACAATTTCTCTTTCTGACACCATTCCTGGCACTCTCACCAGGAACAAATGCACAGTCCTAATTCTCCATTCCTTTAAGCAGTTTTTTCAGGACCCAACTTTTCTGTCATGCAAGACTTACAGCATAGCCCTATGTCTGTCTGTTCAGTCCCACTGGGTTCTGTTGGGCTTACTCCCAGGTGACCAAGTGTAAGATTGCAGTGTGAGTCCTCATCTCAGGTGGAGGCAAAGACTAAGGATACCTAACCATGGTTGTTCACAATAAACCTTTATTCTATTATTTTCATTTGTATTCCTTCCCTTCAAGAATCTCAGGCTGGCATCCTCTGCCCATCTTATCTTTACAAGAAACTCTGTAAAGGTAGGTTAGCTTGAATAACTGCCCATTTCCTTGGTGAGCTTTGTGCCTGAGTGCCAATTTGAACCTGTCTCTCTATACATTGTCCAGTACCCTATCTCCTTCCCACTACATTGGCTCTTCCTCTCTTGCAAAGTCAGCATGTGCAGTACAATCTGGTTTACACAAAATCAGCACTGGCATGGGTTTCAATGCAGACCTACACCCAGGCAAGTTTGAGGAAGACTTTACCTTTAGACCATTCAGTTCATTCAACTTTGCTCTGCCATCACACCATATATGTGCCCTGAGAGTTTAGAGCAACCAAGAAGCAGAATAGCCCTCTCCTCAGCTAGAAAAGCCTCTCAGATAATCATTTTCCAGTTTGGCTGGGGTTCTACTTTACGGTGTACTTCTTCACATGGTTAGTCCAGTTTCAGCACAGTCCATCCCACTATAGAAAATAGTCGTGCAGCAAAGGAAAGAGTTGCCTTATAACAGGCCACCAAAGCTAGCAGAAACTGAGGCTGTTGGATTGCAAGATGATTGGCAAGAAAAGACATTTAGGAAGTGCATATTGCAGGCCTTGGGCTTGAGGCCAAGACAGCCTCACCTTTGTTACACCCAAGCACACCAAACAAGCACTGCCCTCAGAAGAAATGGTGCTGTTCCCTTGCACCATGGCATGGATTAGTGCAGCAGGCACATGCATCTTACGTAGCCCTCTCACTATTTCCCTAGTTGTGCTTGCACAATGGCAACCTACCACAGCCAATCTGGAAATGGAAAAAGTCATTCGCTGGAATTGTACTTATCAAGCTTGTGTTTGTACCCTGCCAGAGACCCAGCAGTCACAACGAGAGCCAGAGCCAGACTAGAAGAATGTATGGAGAGATAGTAAAACAGGAACTATATAGGCCTGGGAAGGGCAAGCGCTTTACTTAGAGGTCATAGGAAAGAAGTGGAATGCTCAGTATGTCAACTGGAGTCCAGCTCCCATAAGCTCCAGCCCGGATGAGCAATGGCTTGGTAATCATGGGAATGCAAGTCATATAACAGTAAGAGGGCCACAGGTTTCCCACACCCCCTCTTCAAGAAACCGTTAAAAAACAGCTTACCAGAGGCAACAAATAGTCAGAAAACTGTGAATGTGTAGCTTACGATGCTTCTTTTCAGGCACGGTCCAACATCCACATCTTCAACATATGGAATGTGGCATGGGTGGGAGTGTCTTTGCCACCACCATGCTTTGCACCCTGGGCAGCTGTTTCAGCTGCCTAGATGCAGTGGGCGGGAGACAGACCGAGGGCCATCTGGACACTGCATCAGCCATTTGCCCCAGCTCCCTCCCCTTGCCGCACCCCAACACACCTTGTCCCTCCTCTCCAAGGCCAGTTTGCAGCCTTGGAGGGGCAGCCAACAAGGTTCCTTCCATGCCTGCTGCAAACAGGGACATGTTGGCTTCCAGGCCATACAAGGCCCTGTTCTGAGACTGCAGGATCTCAAAACTGGGACTCTGAACAGGGCCAGATGGTGTCAGAAGGCCACAGAGTTGAGTCCTTATTTTACTTAAGAACTTTTCTAAACCAGCTCTCATCTTTAAAATTCCTTCAAAACTTTGAAGAGAACTGGCATGTCACTGCAAGCTCTATGAGTTTTTGTTATTTGCCTCCAGGCTTATTCATGCTTCAAGTAGACCACTGAAACTGACAGAATTTGAGTTAGTCATGACTTACTTGCCCCACTGATTTCATGTCTAGTATTATAGATATGTTTTCCTAACATTCTAACAAGTCACTAGGGCATCAGCTTGAACATTAGATAGTTTAAAAGTGATTTTTTTTCTATTTTCCTCTGCTTTGATCAACACTCCATTAAGCCCCGTTTCTGCAACTCTTGCTATGAAATAATAAAATAACAAATCTCTTTAAAAAAAAAAGAGTCGCACAGCACGTATTAGCTCCTTTTTCCTTTTATTCAAACCCTGTATACCCCAATCAATAGGAGAGGAGAAATGAGTCACTTCCACCTCCATCTTTTAGTCTGTATAACTCTAGCACTAGACTGCAGAGGCACCTCTTGCTATGTAGAAAAAACAGACAGACTTAAAAACAAAAACAAAAACAAAACAAGATGATGAAAAGGCCAAACAGTATAGATCCCCAGGGCAAAGTCGCCTTTGGGATGTGTTCCACTTCACACAAGCCTTTTGGTATCCAAGCCACACCCCCCCCCCCACCCTGTAAGAGGCAAAGACACTGAGGTCTTGGTTTCCACAACCCCTGAAGAGGGTGCCCCAAGCTCAGCTGCTAAGGCCTTTGGTACCCGTCTCTCCTTGCAGGCCCACATCTGAAGCTCGACATCTTTGGTATCTGCCTTTGCTTCCCCAGGTGGGTTCTCAAGAGCCAGTTGGGCAGAGTTTACTGTAGGCCAAGTTCCCCAAGACCAGCAACAGCATCTCAGAAGTGCTACTCAGGGCTACGATGAAAGGTGCCTGGGAGGCAAAGTCGGCCTGGGTCCGCTCAAAGGAGAGCTGCAGCACAGCCAGGGCCAGCAGGCTGTTTTGCACCCCGACCTCAATACTGACCGTCCGGCGCTGTGGCCCAGGCAGTCCCAAGCACCAAGCCAGCAAGTAGCCCAGCAGCAGGCCAAAGATGGGCACGGTGATGCCTGCCAGCACGATGGCGGGCTGCACATTCTCCAGGATAAAGGCCCCCATGTGGTAGGCCATGAAGAGTCCTCCAATGATGAGGGTGAAGCTGAAGGGCTTGATGAGCAGCAGCAGCAGGCGGGAGATGCGGGGCAGCTTGCACTTGACCAACATGCCACTGGAGATGGGCACGGCAATGAAAAGGAGGGTAATGAGGATCTTGAGGAAGGGCACATGGAGGGTTTCGTGGGCGCCCAGCAGCCAGCCGTAGAAGGTCGACGAGAGCGGCATGAGTCCGGTGGCCGCCACTGTGGAAAGCAGAGTCATCGAGATGGCCACGGTGACATCCCCACCCAGCAGAAGGCTGTACAGGTAGCCGCCCCCACCACCAGGAGAGGAGCACGAAATTACGAGCCCAAGGGCCAGGGGCTTCGGCAAAGAGAAGGCCACAGACATGAGGTAGCCGTACAGGGGCATAATCACGAACTGGCCCAGGATACCCAACATGACGGGGTGGGGCTGACGCACGAGTTTTTGGAGGGCCTCCACCTCAATCTTACAGCCAAATGCACATTTGTTGAGGAAGATGAGAGGCAGGAGGGCATAGAGGACTGGGTTCTCAGAGAAATGGCCTAGTCCCGAGCGGGCCACTGGCTCTGGACTGCGAGCATGCACACGAATCCGAAAATCCATCCGTTTCTCGACAATACGGCTTTGCTCCAGCAGCTGCATCTGCAGTGGGGCCAGGCCAGGCAGACCAGACTGAAACCCAACCATAAAGCCTCTTCCCCAGGAGACTGTGATGTTTTCAATAGCAATGACTGTTGGCTCCAGAGAATCCACCCTCAGCCAAGCATCAGGGCCTGGGTAGTGGGAGGACACCAACAAGATTCCCTGGCTGTGTTCTGGGAAGCTGAATTCCGAAACACTTCCATCTCCCACACTAAGATACGGAATCTCAGTAGTCAGTGCCCAAACCCAGCCAGCTGCTAACAGGTGGAAGAGGAGAAAGAAGAGGATTGCCCCAGACATGGTGCAGATGACTTGGCAAAGTCATGCGAGGGACTCATTCGATCCAGGACTCTCTTGCCTTCCTCAGCACAGATGTAAGAGAGCTCAGGCTCCTTTGGGGCTCAGATACACAGACACCACTTGCTGATGAAACAGTGGCAGCACTGAAGTGTTCAGCCTAATTGGGGGGAGGGGGAGAAAAAGCACATTCAGGCATGATGCACTTAGAATAATGCTCACAGAGAGGCATGCACACACACAGGGATTGTGGGACTCACTCAATTGAGTCTGATGTTATACCGCAACCTCCACCAACCCTAGTCAATGAGGATGATAGATGTTGCAATACGTCATTATCTGCTGGGACATACATCTTCCATCCCTGCCCCAACCCAAAGTAAGCCTACAGCATCCCAAATTAGGGTCAACACAACACAGGTTCCTTCAGCTTCAATGGTCTCCTGGCTACGAATTCTCCCATCCTAATATTCCAATTGCTTAATCTGCTCTCCTCTCCTAACTTTTGGAGCAGACAAAACTCTTATTTTGCAGCAAGGCAGGCAAAGGTGGAGACTTGGTGATGACATCAGGAAGAAGAGAGTGGAAACAGGGGAACAGAGAGACCAAAGACCAAAGGCAAGAGGAGACAACCAGAGCATGTATCATACTGCCTTGCATCCGAGAGGCTGGATTGCATAAGTCAACTGGGGCCTCAAACCTGCAGGCCCACCTGGGTACCAATCCATGCCCTTTCCCCACTGCCATTCCTCCAACTGCCAATTATTTAGTTATGTTCCAGTCTTCACACTTTCCCCCCATTCTAAACTGTTGACATAGTTCTTTTAAAAGTTTGGTTTTGGGCAGTCAGAAGTGTATGCTAAAATACGTGGGTACTTTTGCTCCATAGAAAGTATCCACAGCCCATGTAGAGAAGCAAACTAAGGAAGCACCTAAGGGTGCTAAAATTCCAGGGGTGGCTTCCTCAGCTAAGAACATGTCTTAAAGAAACACACACAGAAACTCTGTGCTCTTGGAAGGAAACAGAGGTGGGGCCTGGCTCTGGTTATCTAGCAGGTACTGAGTCATTTGATTTCCCCTGGTTGCCCAGAGGCAGAGAAACAGAAGCAACCACTTGTTGAAGTGGTGCTACAAATTATAATGGAGCAAGGTAAACCAAATCCCTGCCAGCCACTGATCACAAACAATGTGATTAGTTGTGCATCTACTCAGAAGTCCTACTCAAGTAAAAGTGATATACTTCATCCAGGGTAAGCACATAGAAAAGTGCACCAACAAGGTCCTATTGCCATGCTGTTCAGCAAATAAGATGGCAAAAAGTTCATTTGCCTAATGCAGCAAAGATCTTTGAGCTAGCGTGCATGCATTTTTCTTTGCAAACCTTAAGCCCCTGCTACTTGTATGAAGAGTGAGTGAGCTATTAGAGATACGCATACCCTTTCTTCTAAATACCGTTTACATCAGCTTCCTTCCGCTTGATATTTCCCAAATGTGTTGGACTACTACCTATAGATGTGTCACACTCCAGCTGCAGAAAGCTATTTAGGTTGTAGGAGATGACAGCAAACCCCTTCTCATGATCTTACTTTCCCTAAGCATGTTCAATTCCTTCAGGCTGTCCTCATGTTTAAACTGCTTTTCCTGGGGCACTGGATCCTTCTCAACATTTTTCTTGGGAAATGCAGTATCACTGACAGCCCAACTCCCTCTTTCACTACCAACCTCTTTCTTGTTGCAATTGAAAGCCCACGAAGGCTGACCATTTCCCATATGGATTCCTTTCTGCAAGAAATGATCCCCAAAGCAATCCCATGGTGGAAGAGGAAAAAAACCCCATGATGTTGGCACTATCCCTGAACCGGGGTGGTGGTGATTTCTAGCCTACACCAGGAGGTTGCAGCAGACTGTCCCTTTCGAGGGGGTGGCAAGCAACGAGAAACAGGAGATGCCCAAACTGGAGAATTCAGCCCAGAACAACCCCGCACCCTCAATTTCTTCTCTCCTCTGTTCAGCTGAGTCACTTCTCTCTTAAAGTCACAAGACACCTGTTGGGAAAGAAGCTGCTGGCCATAAAACTTCCCCCCCCCCCCCCCCCCCACATTTATTAGCAAGAGAAACATGGGCTCCTCTTCCTGCCTCCTAACCCCACCCGGCTTCTCAGCAATTACTTCTACAAGCACGTTCCGATGTCTTTTCGCTGCTGAGGGATAGTATAGCACCCCCCTCCCATTCACTGGGTCTCCCGCCTGCCCGCCAAAGCCACCAACATAATTCTTACCAAAGCAAGTAGCAGTGTCCTTAAAAGCCCCAATCAGTAGCAATCCAACAAGAGTTTTCCCCACAGCTGCCCCACGCTCCCCGTTCATTAACTTCTCTGCAAAGGAAGATTTGGAGAAGCTACAAGCCTGAGTCGCTATTTACCCTCAGATGATCCTTTGCCTCTACCTCCCTGCCAAGATCTCACCTTCTGCCGCCGCCCCAAAACTACCCTCGACCTGCTTGATTGGGTTGCCTTCGCCTCCTTCCTTCTCTTTCCGACTCCGCCCACCGGGGTGGCGCATCATAATCACAACCATGCCCACAATAGATTGCGAATTCATCGTGGGAGCTACCCCGTAGTGGCAAGGTATGCTGGGATTTGTAGTTTTTAGCCACAGTGGAGGAAAAAAGGGAAAACGTTGGATTCAATTTTAGCTAGAAGAATGTGATGGATGGATGGATGTTTGGATAAATGTGCGTGTGGCCTCTGATGGCAGCAGGCCGCATTAAGCTCCCGCTGTGCCTTGATTAATAGGATTAAGGGGTACTCTACGACCTGATTGGAAGGAGCAGATATCCAGGACTGACCGAAATGGGAGATTAATAGTGCATTCTGCTCGGTTAGCGGGCGTTTGGCAATATATATATCGTAATTTGATTGGCTGGATCAGAAGTATTGTGCTGTCTGATTGGAAGAAGCAGGTACCTTATTCTACCGACTCAATGGGATTAGACTGAGATAGAAAGGATTATATGCTCATCCGTTTATTTGATTGGGCAATTTAAGGCCTTCTGTCCTCGGATTGATGGGATTGAGAAGAATTTTGTTCTGCTGGGATCATGGGTTCACTGGTATCCATTAAACGCATTTGGTCAAATTCATTCCTGCACTTCAGCAGGGAATGCAAAACTGGCATCACAGCCGAGAGTGACAAGGGACGCCTATGCCATTTGGGGGCATAGGGAGGCCTTCCTGTTGCAGGGGTGAGGAGAGTGTGAGAGGTTTTAAAACAGGAAAGCAGGTGCCCCAGTTGCGGTTTCATGCCTGGTGACCAGAGGATGTGCTTGGAATTATGCAGAAATGGGTAGAAAAAAAATTAGCATGGAAAATGATAGCTCCTTAGAATGTTCAGGCATGCTGTATGGCCTTTTAGGCTGCAATTTTATGTACACGTGTTAGAGAGCCAATGTGGGCAGTGGTTAAGAGTGCCGGACTCAGACTCAGGCGATCTGGGTTCCTGTCCCTGTGGGGCCATGGAGTGAACTGGGTGACTTTGGGCCAGGCACAGGCTCTTGGCCTAACCTTCCTCACAGGGCAGTTGTGGGGATTAGATTGAGAGCAGGAGGAGAATGATGTAAACTGCTTTGAGTTCTTTGAAAAGAAAAAGGCAGGATATAAATGTATAGGGAGTAAGACCTATTAAACACACATAGTAAGCATGTGTTGCTAGGTTAGGATCCTCGACCAACTTATCTGAAAATCAACCTCGTTGTGCACACTGGGACTTGCTTCTGAGTAGGATTACAGACTGCCACTGCTTTATGCTAGCTCACATGAAAGAGCTCTATCCTGGGCCTCAAATATCTGTATTTACATGGACTTACCTACAAGTGACATTAAATATGCAAGTTGCCATTGTGTTATTAAGAAATTAAAAGCCAGCAGGGATTGGGAGTCGGTAGTTGCACACCCCATTCTGATGCCCGTGAAAAGTGTGTACTCTCACACACCAGGTCCTATTAGTTCTGGGAAGGAAGCTTCTAATTGTGCTAAGGTATGCAAAGTAAAGTAATTCAGATATGGAATTCATGGTTTAATGACATCCAAGTTTGGTTGTTTTGGTCTATTTTAAGAACTGTCTCCTGAAGCCCTTCATGGCCTGCACCTGGATATTTCAGGAAGCACATTTTCCCACATGAACCCCTCATGCATGCAGATTCTTGCATGAATGTTGCTTTGGATACCTTTGTCCATCTTTACAAATAGGTTTGTAAATATTTCATTAGTATGTCATGAACAAGCAGCCTAGTAGGTGGTTTGCAGTGCATTAACAGCTGGAAAAGAATCGACTCTGGATTTACAAAAACGTGTGTCTGCTCACTTGTGAGTCATTTCCTACTCATTCTGGCCCAATTGCTATTTTCAAACATGAGCTGCTTTGCCACGGGAACATCTGGAAGCCAGTGTGGCAGTGCTTAGAGCGCTCAGCTAAGACCTGGATTCTAATTGTTGCAACAAGCAGCAGACATTACTTAAACCCAGTCTGTGGAAGGGCAAATAACTGGTTGAAAAGCTACCAAGCATGTAATTCTGTGATTTTGCAGAACAGCAAAATCCTCCAAGTCCCAGGGAATTGTAAGATGCTTTTCTGTCTAAACATATAAAAAATTATATCCTAAATGGTTAACACATGAAGGGAATTTGGTGTGCAAGTTTTTATGATTAGAATATTTAATTATATTCCATCTATTCCCAGAGATGGACTCTAGGAGGACTGCAGCCCTAAGTTTTAATTACCCTTTGCCACCTTACTTCACGCATTTTAAATATTAGAAGAAAATGCCTGTTAAGTAAAGCTACTGTGCAAAGCTTGCTGTTGCCTTATTTTAAGCATAGTCAGACATAATTTCCCTATACTAGTCCACACTCAGCCACAAAGTTCCCTTGGTGGTTTGGGGCAGTCACTGACCTTTAGTCTAACCCTCCTCACAGGGCTGTTGTGAAGCTACAATGTAGGAGTCACCTTGGGGTTTTTGTAAGTGGTGTGGGGGGCAGGTGAGATGTAAATATAATCATAAATCTAGCCCAGTATCCACAAGGACACAACAGTTCACCTGTTGTCAATTAGGTATGTGATGATTATATTGTTGTCTTAAGATGATGATTATATTGGTTTAAAAGTTGTTTTGTAGATATTTAACTCTGATCCACTTTGATTACTCTGCCAAACCAAAGAGAAGATGCAGTTTTTAAGGTGATGCCCATGTTTTTAAGGTGATGCCTCCATCTCTCTCACGGGTCTTCCGGTCCCTTTGAGACCAGGGCTGGAGTGCCTCTACTTGGTGTTGGGCGAACAAGACAGATTGGGGATTCTATTGGTGTACCGTGCACCTTTCTGCCCAGCAGTCTCCCTATCTGAGCTGACAGAGACCGTCTCGGACCTGGTGTTGAGGACCCCCAGGATGTTGGTCCTGGGGGACTTCAATCTCCATGCCGAGTCTGGACTGACCGGGGCGGCTCAGGACTTCATGGCCTCTATGACGGCCATGGGCCTGTCTCAACACGTCATCGGCCCGACCCATGAACGTGGACACACTCTGGACCTGGTATTCACGACGGGGCAGGAAGAGGATGACCTGAGGGTGAGGAACTTATGTTTGACTCCCCTGTCATGGTCAGATCACCTCCTGGTGAGGTTTGTGCTCGAGAGCGGCCTCTCCCTCTATAAGAGTGCAGACCCGATTGTATGGGCCCGCCCCCGGAGCTGGATGGATCTGGATGGATTCCTGAAGGCCCTGGGGGAGTTTCCGGCTGACAAGACTGGTGCTCCTGTCGAGGCTCTGGTAGAACTGTGGAACGGAGAGATGACCAGGGCTGTGGACACGATTGCTCCCAAGCATCCTCTCCCACCGGGCAGAGTCCGCTCTTCCCCTTGGTATACACCTGAATTGCAGGCGATGAAGCGAGTTGGGAGATGGCTAGAGCGTAGGTGGAGGAAGTCACGGAATGAATCTGACCGAACACACTTGAGAGCCCACTATCGGGCCTATGCTGTGGCGGTGAAGGCGGCGAAAAAGAAGTTTTTTCCGCTTCCATTGCCTCCTCACAATGCCGTCCGGCGGAGCTTTTTCGAGTGGTGCAAGGCCTGGTTCGCCCGGGTCCTAAGGAAGATCCGATGCCACCCTCAAAGGCCCGCTGTGACGACTTTGCCAGGCATTTCAGGGAAAAAATTGCTCAGATTCGTCACGAGCTGGACTCCACTAATGAATTGGAGGTCTCTGAGGAGTCACCAATGCTACCGTCTGGTCCAAAATTATTGGAAGAATTTCAATTATTGCGGCCCGATGATGTGGACAAGGTGCTTGGACGAGTACGTCCCACCACTTGCCTATTGGATCCTTGCCCGTCTTGGTTAATAAATAACTCCAAGCACGGGATTGGGACCTGGATCTTGGAAGTGGTTAACGCTTCTCTGAGGGAGGGTCGAGTGCCTGCCCCTTTAAAGGAGGCGGTAATACGACCGGTCCTGAAGAAAGCGTCACTGGCTCCAGAGATGGCCACTAACTATAGACCTGTGGCCAACATCCCGTTTCTGGGCAAGGTGTTGGAGCGAGTGGTGGCGGGACAACTCCAAGCACTCCTGGATGAAACTGATTATCTGGATCCTTTTCAGTCCGGCTTCAGACCCGGGTACAGTACTGAATCTGCCTTGGTCGCCCTGTACGATGACCTGTGCAGGGAGAAGGACAGGGGGAGTACATCCCTGTTGGTTCTTCTGGACCTCTCGGCGGCTTTCGATACCATCGACCATGGTATCATTCTGGATAGACTTGCGGGATTGGGGGTTGGAGGCACTGCTCTGCAGTGGTTCCGCTCCTATCTCAACGGTCGATTCCAGAAGGTAGTGTCTCTACGTCATGGCAGCTATGCCATGGAGTACCACAGGGCTCCATTCTATCCCCTCTGCTATTTAACATCTATATGAAACCGCTGGGAGAGGTCATCAGGAGGTGTGGGCTGCGGAATCATCAATACGCTGATGATACCCAGCTTTACCTCTCGTTTTCCACTAATCCAGGTGAGGCAGTGGCTGTGCTGAACTGGTGCTTGGCCGAGGTAAGGGAATGGATGAGGGCAAATAAACTGAAACTCAACCCAGACAAGACGGAGGTCCTGTTGGTTGGCGGATCGGGTTTCGGAGAGGGTGGATTTGACCTGGTCCTGAATGGTGCAACACTCCCTCTTAGGGATAAGGTCCGCAGCCTAGGAGTACTCCTCGACCCAGAGCTTTCTTTGGAAGCTCAGGTGACAGCGGTGGCGAGGAACGCCTTCCTTCAGCTTCGGCTGATTAATCAGCTGCGCCCCTACCTGGAGTACGACTGCCTGGCGACGGTGACACACGCGCTGGTGACTTCCCGCCTAGACTTCTGTAACGCGCTTTACGTGGGGCTTCCCCTGAAGACAGTCCGAACACTTCAATTGGTGCAAAATAGAGCTGCCAGGTTGCTGATGGGGACAGGGTGTTATGCTCACATGACTCCAGTCCTCCGTCAGCTTCACTGGCTTCCCATTGAAGCCCGGGCCCAATTCAAGGTGTTGATTATGACCTATAAAGCCCTAAATGGCTTGGGTCCTGGCTACCTGAACGAGCGCTTACGTCCGTATATGCCCGACCGCCCTTTGAGATCTGCGGGAGAGTCCCTTCTCCGGGAACCCTCCATGAAAGAAATTAGGAGAGTAAGTACTCGGAGGAGGGCTTTCTCTGCGGTGGCACCCAACCTATGGAATTCACTCCCCAAAGAGGTCCGCCTGGCACCGTCGTTACTGGTTTTTCGGCGCCAGGTAAAGACCTTTTTATTTAAACATCATTTGAATTGTTAAAACATATGATCTGGCCAGGGCAACTTCTTCTTCCTTCTCTTTCTCCTCCTATATTTTTAATTACTTAAGTTATACTGATAATTTTAATCTTATATTTGTAAACCAATGTATTTTTTGTATTTTGTATTTAATGGTAATTTATTATGTGCTATTGTATTTCATTGTATTTTATCGTGTTGTAAGCCGCCCCGAGGTTTCGGCAAGGGGCGGCATAGAAATGTTATAATAATAATGATGATGATGATGATGATGATGATGATGATGTTTGCAGATCCTTTCCCATCACAGCAACCAACCCAGGACAATGGAGAAGCTGTTTTCCCACACCAATTGCTAAAATCCACTGCCCATTTAGAAGTCACAGAATTGCCCCAAGGAGAGAATATCACAGTTACGTACCTGCAAAAGAGCAGGAGGTGTGAGGGGATTGCAGTTCACCCATGTCTATACGGAGCTGGGTTCAAGTCTCAGGTAACAGAGTTGAAAAACAAAAACCTGGCTAAGGTTCCAAGTGTCCAGAGTCAACAATACTAAGTCTAATGGGGCAGTTGTCCAATTCCATAGCATCTCCTCAATGGTTACTTTGTTAATTTATGCACAATAGAGTGCATTCATCACACTGATAGGCTCTTCAGCCTTGCTCTCCTCATATCATATTGCTTGTAAGCCGCCCCGAGGCTTCGGCGAATGGGGCAGCATAAAAATGTTTAAACAAATAAATAAATAAATAAAAATTAAATCTCTCTCTCTCTCTCCCTCCCTCCCTCCCCCCCCCCCTCCCTCTCTCTCTCTCTCTCTCTCTCTCTCTCTCTCTCTCTCTATCACCCCAGTTCCCTGCAGCACCAAACAGCTTCCCTTGGCCATGTCCCCCTCCCGCCCCAACTCATTTCTAGTGCTCCAGGAAAGAATGGAAGATGTATGGAGGATGTTATTTCCCTAATGGCATGCCTTTAGTGCAAGACTGTACTTTAGATGATCCTCTGCAAAATTGAGGCAGCCTTTCTTAACCAGCAAAACAAAAACAAAAAATCCAGGTTGCCATTCCAGAACAAAAACATTTCAAAAACTGTTTGCATCTCAAAACAGGTGAGCTACAATTCATGAAGTTTGATTGTTTCTCCTCTGGAGGGTCAAAGTGTTCATCTGCTCAGCAACGAAAAACCTGTGTTATAACCTGACAACAGCCTTGTGAAGAGTTGCTGTTAATCAAGGAATTATCACTGTCTTGTACCTTCTGCAATTTATTTCCCCATTGACCTCCCTCTTTACAATTCCTCCCTGCACAACCATGCATACTGGTAACTCAGAGTATCTAATGAGATGGTTCTGGCCCATAAAAACTTACATATGGATAAATTTGTTACTGTGGGATGCACTGCAAGACTCTTTGCCATTTCAACCACTTAGTATAGATGAGAAATAAAGGACAGTAAATTCTGCACTCCTGAAAGGAAACTGAAGATTACTGGGGGACTCTGCCTTAATATATGGGTTCAGAAGATACATCCCCTCCCTTACTCAACAAGCAAAAAGTAATTAATTTGGTCTGTTCCATATTGATACTTTCCATACTAAGTTGCATAAAAAATATTTGCAGGATGTAATTATCTTCCCTGCTTTTCCTAACTAGTCTTATACACTATGGTTAGATTGGAACATGGGCCAAACTACATGTTATTCAACAATATATGTTTAGAAGTATGCTTAAATGGAGATTTATTTAGAAGCGGCAGCTGTGGGGGTTCTGATCCTGAACACGTTTCTGATTTCAGTCAGCCCATAAATGGCACCTTCAGGGCCAAAGAGCAAACAGGAAGGGGATCTTCAGCAGATATATTCTGTATTGGGGCCCACAGCTGCTTTTTCTTTGAAATAAGCACAGGCATTTCCAAGTATGTTTTGTAAGAAGTGTGAACAACATGAAACTTTAGTTTGACATGAAGTACAAAGACATAGGAGACCAGGGGATCTCTATTCCGGGATGACTGTTAAATTGGGTGGAAGTGCTGCCCCCTGCTGGATGTTGTTTCTGGTCATGGGAGGCTCTTGCTGGTAAGGTAAATGGGATCATGCCATACCTCAGCATGCAGCCTTGGGTTGTGCTTGTGGTGGTGAAAGTTTTGTCAGGAACAGGGCATGTGTTGAGGAGGAAACGAAATAGGTAAGAGAGGGGGTTACAAGGCGAAAGCAAGCCCCAATTCAGAGGTGGCATCCATAACGCATATTTTATCTTTGCTACACCAGGAAACAGAAGGAACAGTAGTTCTCGTTCATACATTTTATCCTCATTTTATCTTAGTTTTTTAAAGCTTATTTTCTTATTTTATTGTTTATTGTATTATATTTATTGATATTGCTACTGTTGCTTTTATACTACATGTTGTTAAATTTATAATGAATTGTATTGTTCCGATTGCTGTATTTTTTGAGCATGCTGCCTCCAGAGAGTCTCATGGCTAAGGGGGTGGCATACAAATCAAAAAATAAATAATGGATCAGCAGCCACTCAGTTCCATCCTCTACCTTCCTTGCCAAGATGGCATGAATTGGGTCCTTCTCCTCAACAGGTGCCATTCATAAAGACACTTCTCTGCCGTTGTGGGAGCTGGGAAGATAAAGAAATGAGAATTCTTTGTGCTCAAGCATCACCCGGAAACACTAGGTCCACACACAGGATACGTGATGGAGGGGAAACCTGTGCCAGGACATGAACCAATCAGCAAAGAGGGAGACTGAAGGACAAGCTCGTGTGCACGTGCACCATGCTAGTTGCAGGCCTTTAGGAAAAGAAGTTTGTAAGATGGTACAAGTGGCTAATCACAGCCTTGGCCAAAGCCTGCTGATCCCTAGGGATGAGCTGGTTAGTTCTGCATAAGGGGAGGTAAGCACCCATTTAAAAACAACCGAGTCTCAGCAGTTGTGCACATTGTTTATTGGAGAGGCTGTTAAGCAACATGGGTTTTGAAACAGAAATATTCCACATTGATTACCTCCACTGCAATATAAAGAACTCTGTCTGTAAGGATCAGGGTCGGATACCTCGCCCCTTCCTATCATAAGGAAAACACCAACAAGGCAGGAAACAGCAATTAGGTATCTTTCAAGAGCTTGGCAAAACAATAAAAGATTTAGGAACTGTTTGTAACTGCAAAGGTGTTATATGAACAAGAATAGGAAAGGAACAGTCCCTGAAGCACAGGGGTGGGGAACCTCAAGTCCATATGCCAGATGTGGCCCACAGAGCTTCCCCAGCTGGTCCACCTTGCTGTTCAAGGTCTGCCCATCTGGATGATGGGAAGCAGTTAGGTAGTGCAAAGGGCTGTGTGTGTATGTGTGCAAGGGGTGCAAGGATGTCTGCCTAAGAAGAAACTGCAGCTGTGTGAGAAAGAAAGGAGAGAGAGAGGAAAGGGTGCAACATGGAAATAAATAGTAACTGGATTCAGAAAACACAACCCATACACAAGGCTTGAGCATGGGCTGCTTTTGAAACATAGGTTGTGGTGTCTGAACCCAGCAAAGAAAAGAAAGCATGGTGAATAACCCACAGCTCACAACTCAGCAACAAACCATGGGTTCTCTTCCTGGGTTGTTCACAATTAAGGAGTAGGGTTCAGACAACACAATATCCCACATTCCACTGCATGTGATTATGCTGTCAGAATACAGTGGGGTGTCCCTGCCTTCTTTTGGTTTTGGCTGTACCCACCACTGCTCTGCTGTAGCATGTTGCAACAGAAATATCCAGGCTTCTTCCAGACAGAGTTCCTGAGCCAGTATTTCAGCAGAGGGTACCAATTTGCTCCCCAAATTCAGAGGAACAGGAGCACACTGGATTAACTCCTCTGCCCAGAAAAGAAATAAGGCACTAGGGGAGGGTCTGGGGCTGACTGGGAGTTATTTTTTGCATTACCTCACTTCTGAGGCCCTGAGTAAGACAGGGCCTTTGGAGAGGAAAATTGATTGCCTGGTCAAGTCGGAGCTAGAAGAGGTTTCCACAGAGGAGGGAGATGGATAGCTGCCACTGCAAGGGAAGACAGCAACAGGTGGATGGCTTCTCTACCACACAGACAAAGATGTTGGAGACCCAATGGAAACAGGTCTTCACTAGACCTCCGCAGTCCGCTGGGGGATGCAGCCCTCCATCTCCAGTGCTTCTGGCCAGCCCTCATACTTGTTGGAACTCTTGCTGTTTTTGACATGCTATGGAAATAACAACATGGGGGTTAGATGTGGGTGTCTCATGCACCCTCTGCCTGTCCCGCAAGTCTGCTGCAGCCATCCCAGGGTTTCTCCAAACTCCACCCTCCTGGGGAGAGGCATTTCGAGGTGGCATCAGCAACCCCTCCTGAGTTCCTGAGGAAGAAAGATAGCCTGGTACCTGCTCAAAGGGGCTCTTGTCCTGTACCCCTTTAGCCCCTACAAAGACCCAGCTGTCCCGAAAGGCTAGGTCCCGAGCAATTCTGCTGCCCAGTTCTGTGAAGATTTTGCGAGTCTCCTCGTTCATCCTGGAGAAGAGCAAGGGGTGGAGGGGAGGTTTGAACAAGTCACCTCTACTGCCCATCCCCACTCATTGCACTCCCACCTCTTATTTTGGCTGATTTAGGCCACAATGTTCCTTCTTCTTGGCACGTGCCTGCAGTTCTGCATTGCCATCACCCACCCTAGAGAAGATCTAGGGTGCTAAATGAGGATGCATCTGCCTCAGCTCATTTCCCAGGATATATCCCAGGAACCAGCTGGTGCTATTCACACCAGACCGCAAACACTGTCGATCATCAGCGCTCCTGCTCAAGGCTGACAGAATGTGCAGTTCTCTTCAGAGAACAGGCCACTATCCTGCCACTGTGTTCCATGGATTGTCCCAACAAGGCCAATCTGTTGGCAGGAAGGACTCCAGTCTCTTGTCTGAAGCAGAGCCTCCTTTCATGGGCGCACACCGCAGCCCTTGCAAATCTGCCAGCTGATGGGCAAGCACAGCTTTCCCCCAGCCTGTGCTCAAGCCACAAATGCCATCATCCTCAGCCTGCATGCACACACTGATGGCTGGGGAGGTGATGGGAGCTATGGTCCCAGCACACAAGGAGGGTGCTAAGTTGGAGGGCAGCAGTGCTAGCTCTTCAGTGCACGCAGGCTTGGTGATGACTCCAATCCCCAGATTGACTCTTGAATAAATCTCATGAAAAGCAGCACCCAAACCTTTCCAGGATAAAGATGCACAAAGAGCAGTATTTGCCCTTCCTCCTCCAAGGAGTTCCCTGTGGTGCCACGAGTCTAGAGTTCATAGGATGACAACAATCAAGATCTTAGGGTGAAGTGTCTTTGCCGCCCACGTGCTGCTCCATAGAGAAATGGCACCTGCTCACACACTCCCCTCCGTGCAACTCTCCCGAGTGCCAAAGCCCTGCACTGCGCCACCCCCAGCAACCAGCCCTTGGTTTTCCGTGGCAGCAACTGAGCCACAGCTCTGAGCTCCTCCTCCTCCCTCTCCCTTCCCAGGCCAGCTTGCACATCCATTTCCCACTTGACCTCCGCAGCTGCATCCAGCGCCAGCACATATACAAGTTAAGCAGCTGCGGCAGATCAACTGGAACTTTCACTTGCATGTTTTCAGATTTCATTTTATGATTCTTTTATAGTTTTAATATATGAACCCCTCAGGTTTTCACTGAAGGATGGCATAAATATACCCTAATCAAAACTAGTCATGTTTCTTATATATGATTTGAAGACGCAAATGTTGTCAATTAAGTTGGTCTGAACATTCAATGAAGGTCAAGTGACCACCTGCCTGAACCATTAAGGGATTTTATATTTAAGTGGTATAAAATTTATTATAATATATAACAGCAAATGATTCAAATTGAAGAGAAAGAAGTACCAGTTCATAGAGTTAGACTGTGGTATTTTCTTCCTTGGGGTGTGGTTAAAGCCACCAACTAAGAAGGCTTTAAAAGGGAGTTAGGCGCATTCTTGGAGGATCAGGGAATCAGTTGCTTCTAGGGATGCAGGCTCTATCGGGTCTCTAGGCTCAGACCCAATATGCGTTGGAACACAGGCTGCCGGAGGACAAGTGGTGGGAGAAGTCTACAGCGCTCATATCTTGCTGTTGGACTTCCTGTAACTATCAGGTTGGCTACTGTGAGCATCAGGATGTCTGCTGGCCCAGTCCCCTTCATACGATCTTCAGGGAAAGCCTTACCATCTGTGCCACATCTGGCTGAGTCCTGTTTGGCAGCAACATGGCAACAAGCCTTCTCAGTGGTGGCCCCCTCCCCTGCAAATGAACCCCCTCTCTGAGATACAGGTGGAACCAATGATCACGTGCTTTTGAAGATGATAAAAAACTTGTTCACCCTGGCCTAGTTGTTATAGTTTGGGTTTGCATCTTAGGAAACCTGGGTTTCGGTCCCCTCTTGGCCATGGAACTCACTGGGTGACTTTGAGTCAGACATGGACTCTTAACCTAACCTACTATACAAGGTTCTTACAACCTACTTTACGGGCCACCCTGAGTTCCTTGCAAGAGGAAAAACACAGGATAGAAATGTAATGAAGAAATATGTAACTGCTAAGTTATGAAATATACCTTCCAGCCTCCCAACTCTGGTGATGGAGCCCAAACCAGAGCCTTAGTATATAAGTATCAGACAGCAGATCCACAAGGTGCCTGCCCTTTCTTAGTTAATTCCTGTTTTCCTGAATAGCTGTAAAGATGGAACTTTCCAGAACTTTGTGGAAATCCCTTTCTTTACATGCTACAACTCTGATTTTATTAAATTAGGCTACCTCTCTCACACTGAGCATAAGTAACCACATGGGTTGAGAGTCAGTCATGCTGACCACCCTCTGTTGATACTCACTTTGTGGCAGGGTCATCATAAGAGGCCACAAACACCAGCGTCCCCTCATGCAATGGCCGGATGAATTTTAACAGATCGTTCACATCTAGCAGAGGTGGGGGAGGAGGGAGAAAGCAGAACAAGAACTGTCAATGCAGCTGTTACTCCCACAGTCCCAAACACCAAAAACCTGGCTTGGCACATGTCATAATTCTGTAGAAATGCAAGGATACCCCAGAATGCAGCCTTGGGTACAAGATTCAGTTTTCTGAGACTCTTGGCTTTTCTTTCCCTACCCACAAGCAGGTTTCTAGTCCTTCTGGTGGTGAAGAGATTCTTGGAACTGAATATGGACAATGTCTGCTGAAACCTCAGGATTCAGGGGGATGACTGAATACTGTTCTCAAGGCATGGAGGGAGGAACTTCCCCATGATTAATAAAATCAAACAATGAATCTATTATATAAGGTAACATGGAAAGCAGGTGAAATTATGTACAATAAGTGAAAATGTGCCTTTAATTTGCTTATTTAAAAATGCATTAATATTCCAATTTTTCCCTTGGGCAAGGAGCCCAAGGTAGCTTACACAGTTTTCCTCCTCTCCATGTTACCCTCACAACAGCCCTGTGGGGTCGATTCAGCTAAGAGTCAATGATTGGCCAAAAGTCACTCAGTAAGATTCATGTCTAAGTGAGGACTAGAACTTGGGCCTCAGATGGCGATCTCAGAAACCAGATCTTGGGGGTCCCAATCCAGCACTCTAACCACTGCAGCACACTAGAACTCTAAGCCACAGCTGTACCACTTCAGCCCTGTATATTTTTGAAGCACAAGGCTGGTCGTGGCTCCCAAAGTCCCTCCTTCCACGAGGGCTACCCCATTACCTTTTGTGTGTGCCTTTTGAGCTCCAAGGCACCCTAAGCGTCCTTGGAGCAGCATGGAAAAGGAGGTTCACTTGCTCCTCACTTTGCTTCCCCCATCACGTGTCCGAGGGTACAGAAAAGAGACAGTGTTCAAAGGGCAGTCCAGTCTCCTTCCAGGTCCCATATGCACATTTCCATAAGAGGATCCACCCCACAGGACTGTTCTAAGCACCTCTGTCCCCACCAGCTGTCCCCATCACTGCCTGGTGCCTCCAACTCTTGGCTCATTGACCAAGTGTCCTGGCACCAGAGCAACATCCCATTTCCTTGGACAGCCACCAGTGGAGATCCATCAGCAGGTCAGCCTCTCCTATAGTTGCTTTGCCTTCATCCCAAATCCTCAGGCTGTCTGTAGCCTGTAGCCATCTTTGAACACACTGACAAGATCTGTCAAATATCCCCTCCCATGCACTCCTTTTCCCTCTTCCAGAGAATTTACTCAGCCCTCTCTCCAAGCCTCGGCAGGGCTATGGAGAGCCCAGAGCACAGTGCTAGATCCCCGAGATTGCATGTCCAGGCAGGGCAGGGAACCGAAGAGAGCCTCTGCTAATCAGAAAGCCAGTCTTGTGCAGTGGTGAGAGGGCTGGACCAGGTCCTGGGAGACCAGAGCTTAGCCAGGAGGCTCACTGGGTGACTTCAGCCCAGTCACTGACTCTCATTGTACCTACCCCACAGGGTTGTTTAGAAATGGAGAAGAGGGGAATCAAGTAGGCTGCCTTCATCTCCTTGGAAGAAAAATGGGATTCTAACTATAACAAGTAAGTGGAGAATATTGGGCCAGACAGACCAACGACTCCGCATAAGGCATCCTCCTATGTTCTTGGACTCTTAAACTCACCTCCTGCCCACATGTCAAAGAACTTGGCATCGATCAGTTCTCCATTCACCCCTGCAAAGCAGAGCAGGCCAGCATGAGTGACTTGTTTTCTCTTGCCCGACAGGGTTAGCAGCCATACCCCATGAGCCCATCTCACCGTTCACCAGTGCAATGTTCAGGCCCCGGCCTATGTTGTTTTTCACACTGCTCATTAGCCTGAAAGAAAGAGGAAGGCAGGTCAGAAATGGCTCCACCAAGAGGCCCCGTAATGGCTACAGCGGGGCCATGTCAGGTCTTTGCCCTGGAAAGGATCCCCCCCATGCACCACAGCAGGCACCCTGCAGGGCCTGAGCAGCTGGACTCCATCACCGCCGCCTCCACTCAGGCGGAATTCGCAGCAAGGCTATCAAGAGCCAGCCCTTGGGCTCATCCATTCTCAGCAACATTCACTCACATTTTGTCCTCAAGGCAGATCTTGGGCCCAATTACATTGGCTGCACCACTAGTGATCCGGAAGGCAAATGAGTTTTCTGGGCAGGCCCTTGGAAGGCCACACTTGTACTTCTTGGGTCTGGCTTCTGAAAAGATGGGAGCAAGATGAAAAGACCATGAAATCACAAAGCCCCACTGCCCCCAGGGCTGAAACAGCCAGTCTCCAATAAGAGCTGGTGCCAACAACTACTGGCGAGTTTTAAGCGGCTGTTTTACACACAGTCAGACTGTGGATCCTGAACTATTTTCCTTGAACCACTGATCTCTCTTCCTGGGGCCTCTCCCAACCTTCTCTGCCAACATCCTTTGTAACCAAAGGATGCCAGAAATGGAACACAGGCCATCTACCTGCCAGGTGTGTGCTCTACTCCTGAGCAACACCCCAATATTAGGGGAATGGAAACAAACTTCTGCTGTGAGCTATAGCAGGCCAGGAACTTCCCCTAAAATATGCAAGAAAGGGCAAGTTGGGGAAAAGATTTTCTTGGAACAAATACTTCACACAGCTGGCTGTCCCACTGTTCATCCCAGCATTTTTCAATTCATCTGAACTCACTGCGAGGCCCACTGTGGCTGCCTGCATTGATCTGTGCCGGGACTATGCTGATCCACTCGAGCATGTTGTCCAAACCTAGCAATGATGGATGAAGAGTCGGGACACAAGGAAGGCATGTCCGACAGGTTCTAGGGATGGCAAGGCTAACACAAGGCCAGGGCAGACACACAGGAGAAAGGCAAGTGATACAGAAGTCCCTTCTCTCACTTACCCTTGTCATTTCCTGTGCCAGGGTATATACCATACAGCCCATGGGCAGCACGCAACCACTTCTGTAGAAATTTGTGGTTGAAAAGAAAATCACAGATTTGTCACCAGGACTTGGCAGTGCCTGATATGGAAAGCTGCAGTGGCCAAACTTAGCTTTTTTTTCCAAGCTGCATTTAGTTGCTTTAGTGTTCTATAGCAAATCTGTGGTTTTTTTAGCCTCCACTGCCAAGTTCTGTAGGGAAGTGGCAAGAGTGCAGCCTCAGAGGGGGAAAAGCAGTCCCTGGGTCTCCTGGAGTCACTGACCTGTCTTATGTATTCCCTTTCTAAGTGTTGCTCACCCTCAGGCCAGCAGCCCACTTCCTGCTGGGTTGATGCAAAGGCAGTGAAAAATTAACCCCTGTTCAGGGAGGTTACAGATCCTGCATCTTCATGAGAGCTACCCTAAAGCAGGAGAGGCTGCCTCAAATGGAACTGAGCTGCATTGCTGGACAGACATTGAGAACTGCAAAGCTGGTCTCCAAGGCAACCCAGGAAGATGCAAGCTTCTTCCAGCTGCCATAATTCACCAGCAGCTCCACCATTTTTCTGAGCATTTTGGCCAGGTCCTCCCTCCTTGTGGTTGGTGCTATATGGCACCCATAATGTCCTTCAAACTTGGTGTATAGGAGAAGGAAGCAAACCTTCCTGCAGTTTTTAAAAAAATCCCCTGTGGACAAATCCTTACAGACTCTGCAGCAGGCCAGGCCTTTGCCCTTTCCCACTGCCTCATCTTCCACCTTCCCCTGGATCCAAAGTGACAAGCAACACTGCACAACCAGCATGCAGTCTTTGCTTTCCTCTCTATTTCTCTACAGGAAGTCAGAAAGTTCCTGGCACAGTGGGAGCACATTTCAGCAACTTTCAGAACTGCAAAGCTCTGCTTCTGTGTAGATCCTAGCAAGGCCAGAACAGGGCAGGATGTTTGCAGGCAGTGGGTGTACAAACCAGCTCCTTTGTTGGACTGTAACTCCCATCACTCTTGCAGCTGCAGATGCTGGAAGTAATAGCCAAACATGTTTGGAGACTGCCAGGATTTTGGGGGGGAGGGGGGAGTGATCCTAAACATGGCTTGCAAACCCAAAGCCCATGCCAGATATGGATGATGGCAGCTGTAGTCCAAACATTGGGAAAGGAGGTTACAAATGCCATCTACCTGGAGTGGGAGGATTCTCAGGACCTGCAAGGAAATAGAGAAACAGCAGCATCAGCAAAATCCAGTCTAGAGCTCTCACACAGCTTCATCAGCTCAGCTCCCTGAAGCAGCAGCCAGATGCCAAGACCAAAGTTACCTTTACTACCAGATCATATCACCAGAGCAGCTGCCAAGAGATTCATTTTAAATGGCTTAATTCTAATTACCTCTGGAGGAGTTTATAACTATGCTCAGATTTCAAGAACCCCAGTTTCCATGCTAGAAAAAACAGTGCAATACTCCCCAGGAAGGGTTTATTCCTTTAACTCTGCCTAGAAGCCAAATTAGGGGAACACTGCCAAGCAATCAAAGGTCCCAAAGGCTACTTCAAAGTCCATTATTCCCCTGTGGAAAAAAGAAAACATGCAATTTCTCCAAAGGACTGCAAGAGCTAGAAACATGAAGGCTCATGTGTAGGGTAGACACACTAAGAGTGCAATGTTATGCAAGTTTAGACAGAAAAAAGACCTACAATTGCCACACGGGCTGCAGAAGCCTGCAAGTAGTAGGTCTTGTTTCTGCTTAAACTTGCACAGAATTGCATCCTCAATGAGAATGAAGTTCCAGATCTAAGCAATAAAAATCTAGATTACATCCCTCACCACTGGTTATGTGGGCTAGGACTGATGGGAATTTCAGGCCAAAACTTCTGAAGGGCCACAAGTTGCCCATCCCTGCTCTAACACGTTCTTGAAAAATAACCATATGGGACAGTCTCCAAGAACTTCCTGGCATGTGCCTTGTGTTGGATGAGATGTAGTGGACAGTCTAGGACTTGAGCATTGCTTTCCCCAGTCCAAATCCTTCATCATCCTCAAAGGCCACTCAGCGACCCTAGGCCAGTCACCTTCTCTCTGCTTAACCTACCTCACTGAGATGCTGAGAGAACAGATGCAATAAACCCCATGCATACTGCCTTGAGCTTGTGGGGGATTCAAAATTAGTAAGCCAAGGCAAGCCAGGGAAAAACGGCATAGATAAAGTGCATTTGAGCATCATGTGCTAATTCTAAGGAAATATTTCCAGGGGTTATGCACTAGAGTAGAAACACAAACTTTAAAAGTAGGTATGAATCAAACCTGAGTCCCGCTGCTCTCAGCTCCTGCCAGCTTGTCCTAATCCTGGTTAGGCATGGCGGGAGGTGCCACCTATAAGATCTTGAAGGCACCAGGTTGTGGAAGTCCAGTCTAACCCAAACCCCTTAGCTTTACAGTTGTCTCACTACCAATACGAGCAGCTACCTGTCTGGATCTAACAACCACCGCAATCTTTTTCCTCCCTTTCCTGAGACCAGCAAAATGGAGAGGCAAGGCAGTGCCAGCTGCAAGCATGGTCATTCCTTGCAAGCCAGTGTCCCTCTCCCCCCCACCCCACATCCCACCCCCACCCCCACCCTGGCGCTTGTTCTTACTGCTGAGGAGCTGCTGCAGGCGGGAGAAGCCACTTTGGGTACCCAGCAAGATGCTGACAAGGATCCAAGTTAGCCCTGCGGTCAACACAATCACGACGATGCGAAGCGGGCCTGAGAAGGGTTCGGAGAGACAAGGTGAGATCTGAAACATCACCAGCAAAACGCCCTGTGGACAGTGGGTAGGGCCTCTTTGAGCTTAAAGGCTGAATTCCGTTTCAGAGAGGCTCTTGGGACTACATTCCACCAGGGCAGATTTGATTTATATTGCAATTTAAATCAGTAAGGCTAGATTTAAATCATTGTTTTCTACATAATTTGCACACATGCCTGCCTTACCCATAGGTAGAGGAACTTAATTAAAATATTAAATATGATAAACCTCAGGCTATGCACAAAAGGATCCAAAGACTTGGGGGATATTCTCTTTAAAAGATTTCACTTTCATTTTTGCTGCTTGCCCCTCCCTCCTCACACTTAGTTTCTTGTACAGTTCTATTCCACTCCCAAAAGTCTTCTTCTATTCATTGAATTTTTTGAAACTTAGCATTCAAGAGGCAAGGGGTTGATTCTGTGTAGATTTACAAAAAAACCAATGGGATTAAAGTCTTCTTCTCAGCTCTTTGTTTTATTTTATAACATTTTTGCTGTGAAGAGGCATGTCATCTTGGCAGACACAAATTCACAGTTCTGAGAACTGTAAAACCAAGCATCTGCAATAACATTTTTTAGAGAGAAAAATTACCCAATAATCTCACAGAAACCGCTGCAAGAGCATGACATTGTGAATGGACTGATGGAATTCATTTACCAAAAGCGCTTAAAGGACTGAGAGTTGGCACTGCTGCCTTGCAGAATGCAACCCAACTGCTCCTGTCGGCAGTCCTGGCTGCTGCATCTTCCTGTTATTTTTCCCGGAGTGCAAAAGCTTCAAAGGGCTTACTGGACACCAGCAGCGAAGGGCTTCAATTCTCAAGCATAACCAGCACCTCTGCTGCCCCCTTTTTTCTTCTTCCTCTTCCACTTACAACTCACCTGCTAGTCTCATGGCCCTTGAGATGTCTGGAACCAGCCACAGTCCAATGCGACTAGATTCTTGAAGAGTCAGGAATCAGTCACATGTACCTTTCCAGCTACTGAGAGCAGAAATGGAATCAGTCCAAGAAACTTTTAAAAATAGTAATACATAGAGCCAGTGTGGTATGGCGGTTAAAGTGTTAATCTAGGGATCCAGGAGATGAGGGTTCTAGTCCCCATTTAGCCATTATTATTATTAATTTCTATACTGCCCAACAGCCAGAGCTCTCCAAGTGGTTTGAAGCACACTGGGTGACTTTGGACCAGGCATGGACTCTCATCCTAACCTGCCTCACAGGGTTATTGATGTTGCTATGAAGATAAAATGGAGCTATATAAAGCTGCCTTGGGTTCCTCACAAGAGGAAAAAAAGTGGGATACAAGCACAGTGTGATGACGACGACGACAATGACGACGACGACAACAGCAGGGCTGGTGGTCTACACCACCCCATAATGTCTCATGACAGATGAGTAAGTGATGAAACATAAGAAGCATGCAAATACTAAAATAAAGCCCCCATAGCACTCAGTGAGGCAACAAAATTAAAGCAAAGCATTTAGCACTATTACCACAAGGTGCTGAAACTAGGGGCCATTTCATACAGCGGCAAACATTGGTATGCTCACAGCTAAGGGGATTTTGATTTTACTTAAATGCATTCTGTCAGGCCCCTGTGGGAACTCACCATGAAAAACAAACCAGCAGGCAAGCAAAACCATTTATAATAACATCATCACTCTTACAGCACACTCTTATTGATTGCACCCTCGATGCTTACAAGCCGCTGAACTCAGAGGCTTATAAGCCTCCAGTGCAGAGCAAAAGGAGCCATGGAGGCATTCTCTCCCTTCTCACTTCTTCCACTCTGCATTTTTTGGGGATGCTAGGATATGAGCTATCCCGACTGTGTTCTGGCCTCCTTCTCACCTCCTCTGAAGCCTCTCAGCTAGACAGCCATTTCTGGCCATCTAGTTGAGGAGCTTCAGAAGCCGGAATGCAACCAAGACAACTCATATCCCAGCATCTCCAGTCATCTCCCTTCCCCACCTCATGGAACTTCCCCTTTATCCTCCCTCTGAGGACACATTCCCAACTTTGGAGAGGCAGCTTGCATAGTCCTTTCTGTACCAGCTGTGAGAGGGGAGGCAGATCAGGGTGTGGATCCACAGCTCCAAGGCTGGAGTTCTGTCCCCCACCTTAGATCTCAGAAGCTGAATTACCTTGTAGCCCACAAATGTCGTCTAGGGGACCACTGGATCACTCTTCCCAAATGTTAAAATAATATCTTAACTACTTAAAACTTGGCAGTATTGCAAATGTACCCTAGCAGGCCAAAGACAAGTACCCAAATCCCCCACAAAATAAATACTTTGTAAGTACTGTTCTTTTTTTTAATAAATTTTATTAAGATTTTTAAACTAACACTAAAGACATCAATCATCAAATACATCGGACGTACTGGGTCAGGCCCCTACTCATATTTTTTAACATTCTATAGTCATATTCAAATCCATTTATAATAACTTAAAAACATCTTTAAATCTAAGCCAAGTCCCGTTTCTCTAGCCAATAATAAAAATGTAAGCACTGTTCTTAGTAGAAATCCAGGTATATATTTAGCAAATACATACAAATATATAACCAAACTTCTTCATTCCAGAAGAGGCAGGCAACTCAAGTAAAGGAATTTCTTACCCACAGCCTTATAGCACAACCACAGAACTTGGTTGCTTACCATACAAGGCCTGCCATTGTGTTAGGCCTGATGGCCTTCTGGCCTTTTCCAATTCTACTATTCCATCACTGTGCTTGCCATTTTCTTGCTAGCTTGAGCGGGACGGGGGGGGGGGGACAGACAGTAACTTTCCTTGACCATGGAAGCACTTAGAAAGCAGCCTCCTCATCAGCTCTCAGGCTCAACACATTGTCTAGGAGAAATGATGTTTGATCTGTTCTGTGTTTCATGGATTGTCAGGTACCTTTCATCCCATGAGTGGATTTTTTTTCCAGTTCCTGAAACTGCATGTATGTGCACACCTACAAATTTGCATGTGTGAAAATATGCAAAATGCCCTGTGGAGGGAAATGAACTTTTTAAAAAGAAAGGCACACTTTTTCTATGTCTACATTCAGGCAAAATTCTGCAAAATTAAAACAATGGTCTTCAAGTCCACAGAATCTGTGACTTAGGAAAAACTTGCAAAATCTACAGGCCCGATTCCTAGAATTCAAAAGTCATTTGAATCTGTTGAGGATTTCTGCAGCATCCCTAGAAGAAACCTGCATCCTTCTGTTGTTGTTGTTGTTAGCTGCGAAATTGTGTCCGACCCATCGCGACCCCATGGACAACATTCCTCCAGGCCTTCCTGTCCTCCACCATCCCCCAGAGTCCACCTAAGCTCACACCAACTGCTTCAGTGACATCTAACCACCTCATTCTCTGCCGTCCCCTTCTTCTTTTGCCATCTATTGTTCCCAGCATTAGGCTCTTCTCCAGGGAGTCCTTCCTTCTCATTAGGTGGCCAAAGTATTTGAGTTGCATCTTCAGGATCTGGCCTTCTAAAGAGCAGTCAGGGTTGTTCTCCTCTAGGACTGACCGGTTTGATCGCCTTGCAGTCCAAGGGACTCGCAGGAGTCTCCGCCAGCACCACAATTCAAAGGCCTCAATTCTTCAGCACTCAGCCTTCCTTATGGTCCAACTTTCACAGCCATACATTGCAACTGGGAAAACCATAGCCTTGACTATACGCACTTTTGTTGGCAGGGTGATGTCTCTGCTTTTTAGTATGCTATCTAGATTTGCCATAGCTTTCCTCCCGAGGAGCAAGCATCTTAATTTCTCGGCTGCAGTCCCCATCTGCGGTGATCTTGGAGCCCAGGAAAATAAAATCTGTCACTACCTCCATTTCTTCCCCATCTATTTGCCAGGAAGTGAGAGGACCGGATGCCATGATCTTAGTTTTCTGTGTAATCTTGCCACCTCTTCTTAATCTGCCAAACTCCTTTCTCAATTTTGAACCAATCAGTGGTTTTGTGCCCAGTTCTCACTTGTTGCTTCTTGACTCACATATAGGTTTCTCAAGAGACAAATAAGATGGTCAGGTACTCCCATCTCTTTAAGAACTTGCCATAATTTGTTGTGATCCACACAATCAAAGGCTTTAGCATAGTCAATGCAGCAGAAGTAGATGTTTTTCTGGAATTCCCTAGCTTTCTCCGTGATCCAGCGTATGTTGGCAATTTGATCTCTAGTTCTTCTGCCTCTTCGAAATCCTGCCTGTACTTCTGGTAGTTCTCGGTTCACATACTGCGGGAGCCTAGCTTGTAGGATTTTGAGCATAACTTTGCTGGCATGTGAAATGAGTGCAATGGTGCGGTAGTTTGAACATTCTTTGGCATTGCCCTTCTTTGGGATCGGAATGTAAACTGACCTTTTCCAATCCTGTGGCCACTGCTGAGTTTTCCAAGTGTGCTGGCATATTGAGTGTAGCACTTTTACTGCATCGTCTTTTAAGATTTTGAATAGCTCAGCTGGAATACTGTCTCCTCCACTAGCTTTGTTGTTGCTCAGACTTCCTAAGGCCCATTCGACTTCACATCTTTTTCTAGCCCTAGGGAATGACAGGGACTTTTGTTGACATTACACTAGGCTGAAGAGGTTGGAAGAGAAGCTCCTACTGGCAGAGAAGAGAAGTTCATCCCATGCCTCATGGCTAGCTTCAGTAGCACTTAAGAGAATCCCCCTCAAAGCTAGCATAATAGAGATAAGCCTCACATCCCACTCCCCAGGTTTGACTTAATGCCTTGTAGCTCACACATGTGGCAGGATCTTTAAAAGCCACAAAATTCTGGTTCCCGTTAGGCCAGTGTTTGTATACCCATGATATCATACCTCGGAAAAGAAAAGGAAGTATAACAGGGCCTCATTTTAAGACCTGTTTGGGTACCCCTGGATTAGACCTTCACATACACCACCTACTTAGAATGGGGATAGGCAATTTGTGGTCTCTAGATGTTCTGACCTACAAGCCCCATCAGTCCTAGACAGCACATGCAATGAGGGTTGTTGGGATTTCTGGGCCAAAACATCTGGAGAGCCATAAGCTGATCACCTCTACTTTAAAAGTCCTTGCCAGCACTTTTGACTGAACTGGAAATGTACTGGCAACCAATGCAGCTCGTTTGAAGCATTATATCAGTTACACCAGGGGTCCTCAAACTTTTGGAATAAGGGGCCAACTGAAAGGCTGTGCTGACTGTCACGGGCTGGTGCGGTGGGGGTGCCTGGCGGCGCGGGCCAGTGAGCTGCCGTGGGGCGTGTGCAAGGCGGCATCGGGCGCATGCGGCGGTGGCTTGCTCGCTCGGAGATCTCCCAGCGAATCCAAACCATCTCCGAGCGAGCGATCCACCACCTCCCCGCCTGCGCAGCAAGCGAGTGCGTGAGTGGTAAACAGCGGTGCGGGCTGGATGGATGGCCATGGCAGGCTGGATCCATCCTGCGGGCCATAGTTTGAGGATCCATGACTTACCCCAATAGTTCTGTGGCTCCCCTTTAATTAGCTATAACTTCTGGAAATTTTTCAAAGGCAACCTTATTCCAAGGTTATCACATCAGGAGTCTTGGTGGCTAGCTGTTTACACAAACTGGTGTATGTGTTCCTTTAAACACCTGATTGTCATACCTAAAATCACAATGCACAAAAAGCTCTCAGGTGTTTTTGCAAATCTCCAGGGAAAATGTTCTGCAATTGAAAAACAGCTGCTGAGGAAGCACTGATAAAATCCACATCTCATCCCACATTCTTAAGATGGAACCGGCCTTCAGCAAAATGATGTCAGTTTAGGTGGGAATGTAGCAGTTTTCAGTGTGTTCCCCCATTACAACAATAACAACAGCACACATTTCTGGTACATTAAAAACAAAAATAAAAATTTGTGGAGCAAAGTGAGAACCAAGGCAAGAGCAAGGCTAAAACCTTTGCCAGTGTTCTGCCCATTTTCTATTCTTGGGTCAACATATTTTGCTGTCTTATTTACACTGGAAAGCATTCAAATACTGGTTCCTCAAACTGGAGACTGAAGTGAAACAAGCCATTGTCCTTTCTCAGAATTGTATTACTGTCTCACCCTGTTGCTTGCATACACCAAGTTTTGGCTGGCTACAGATCTGAATGAGTATGGCCTGCAGTCCCCATGATCCCTCCAGCTAAAACCTTTGGGAGTTGTAAGGCAAAACATCTGGAGAGCCATAAGCAAGCTCACCCTTGCATGAAGGCTGAGAAATCAGTTCCCTCCATCATGGCTCTCTAGCTGACCTTTAGCAAATCAATCTCTCTCTCTGCTTCAATTTCTCCTTTGTAATCAACGAAGCATAAACAACAGAATTACCATGAAGTGGTTGACCATTCAAAAGGGCTCCAGGGAACAAGAATCCCTGTTAAGGCAGCTGAGCCAGCTGCTTTAATTTCCTTATGCCAATGCTGGCCCCCATATGGAGGTGAGTGGGTCCCTCCAACCTGGAAAGGGTAGGAGCATGTGGACTGAGACTGATCCCATGCTCCTTTGGGCCTCCTTGGATGCTCTCTGCCATGTGAAAATGGCAGGGATATAAAGGCATTGGGCCTTTTGCCAGTCCAACATCTGTACCCTCTGAGGCTCAGTACTGCCTGAACAACCCTGAACTCTGCAATGTCCCTTGCTTTGCCCTGTGGGGAACTTCTTCTCCACCCCCTCATCCACCCTAATTCCAGATCACTGACCTGTATACCCGCTCCTCCTAAAGCTCTGCAGGCCTAAAGCCAATAAAATCCAGTGTGGTGCAGTGACAAGAGAGACAAACTGGGACCCAAGCAATCTGGTGTCTAGTCCCTACCTGGCCATGAAGCCCACTAGGTAAGTTTAAGCCAGTCAATCAACTCTCAGCCTATCCTACCTCACAGAGTTGTTGTGAGAATAACATGATTTTTACTTTGGGTTACTAGTGAAAGAAGCAAGATATAAATCATAATAAATACAAATGGATAAAATAAGCCATCCTCCCACTCAACTTCAAAGTGGCATCTGATTCTCCCTGAGTTCCCAATAGTGCCAAGCTAGAGTGTCCAGCTCCTTCTTCAAGTTGGCAGGGAAGCTTCTCCTTGAGGGTCCAGCCACATTCTCTGCATATCTGTCTGCAAGTAAGACCTTTATGACAACTAAACTCAGTGACCTATCTGGTTCTTCTAATCCTCTTACACCGCTCTAAGATCAACAGTCCCCCATACCTTTCCCCCACCTATCGCTTGGGGCTGCATAGCCTTTTACCGCAGCCTGTCCCAACCAGCTGCTCTCCTTAGGCGTTGGACTACAGCTCCCAGTATACCCCAGCCAGCATAACAGCTGCGCGACAGGCAGCCGTGCGACTCGTGAAAGCTTCGCCAGCGCGAATGCACACGTAGGAAACCCTAACCCGCATCTAGGAAAGAACCCTGACTCTCGCCAAAAGAGGGGGCAGCTCCCCATAACCTCTTCCTTAGATAAGGCCAGAGCAACCCACCGCGACCCCTCGCGCGCCGCCCCAACCCTCTCCCCAACCGCCAAGTCTCCATGCACCTACAATCCCCAAATTCTCCATAAACCCACAGTCTTACCCCGCGCCCCAAGCCGCTCCTGCACTCACAACCCTTCCCACGCTTGCAGCAGCTTCCCCTGCCCCACATACTCGCCTCCCACACGCCCCAGTCTCCTCATGGCTCCGCTGGATTGCTCCAAGGCAAGCCAGCGCCCCGGCCCCAGGAAGGCCTCCAAGCCGCGAGCCACATCCACGACCCGCGCCGGCTCTGGCGTCAAGGGGATTTTCCTGCCGCGAACCAGCAGCAGCACCGACTCCACGAGGTAACTCCGCCCAGCCTTCAGGGCGCAGGCGGAGACGGACGAAGCGACCTCCCTCGCGACGGGATTGGCCAACGCCGGCTCTGATGAGCGCTGTTCGTCCCGGCTCCACGGGAAGGACTGTACGCAGGCTAGGGCATCCGCGATCCTTCCTCCCTGTGAACGCTCCCTTCTCACGATCCCGTTTTCATGCATCTCGACTCTGGAATTTTCCCCACGCTCTACTGGCCTCATTTTCTTACCGACCCACAAAACTGAGTTTGAAAAAAAGCATTCCTACTTCACAGCTCCCAAATAAGGTCCTCTATATTTTCTTTTAACTGGCCAATGTAAACAAAGTAATACACACACGGGGAGAGGGGGAGAGAGAGGCCTACAAAGAAGCGGGGAGCGGTTAGATGTTGCCCTTTCAGTTTTATATTTTCTTTAATGGCGCTACATAAACTTTTTATATATCAGACTATTACAGCAGAACACTATCACTTCGTCATTACTTTGATTATTACATTCAGTCTTCCTCGGAATCTATGATTAAGAAGGAGTGCCTTCTCTGGAGAAGACAATCATGCTAGCAAAGCTCGAAGGCAGTTAGACACAAAGGGGGACCAACTATGAGGTGGGTTGATTCCATCAAGGGAGCCACAGCCTTGAATTCACAAGAGCTGAGCAGGACTGTCACGGAAAGGGCATTCTGAAGCCATAACGCTTGGTGGAAGTCGTAGACAACTTGAGGGCACATAACAGATTTTCCATATTGTATCTTACCAGCCTTCTCTCTTATTAATATTTTAGTTAACATACCATCAGTGGCTCTCAAATTTCTGCTCCATAATGAGGTAATAAGCAACTACACTGTAGGATTGGGTTGTCTAGTGTATGAAATTACAGGTAGTAAAGGTATTATATAATTTCACTTAAAGCCTGATACTCTTCGTGTTCAATCCAAAGCAAGGCTGACTAAATTCAAAGGAGCTTTGTCCTGGTTTAAGCATGCAGGAGACAGTCATTTAGCCTTTGTTTTTAGACCTTATTTTTCATTCTTGTTCTAGTAAAGGGGTTGTATCTCATATTAAAATTGGGCCATTGAAATTGATGGGACTTTAGTCAGACTAATCCAATCTTTAATTCTCTCATAATCCCTGATGACCGGGCTTGAATGACACTCTGCAATCCCATTGGAAATTGCATATTAAAATAGCACCCAGCACATACCACACCTCATCAAGGATTAAATAAAAACAGTAAACCCAGCATGACATGTGAACCAGGCCAATGCAAAGGCATACACAGCCTAGTGTCATGGAAGCTCAATGTAAAATATCACCAAGTGGAATCAACTACCAAACATGGCAGTTGCAAGGTCACCTTCTCCTACAAGGGGCCATGCCCCTGCTCAGAGCTGCAGAGCAACATGGCACAGGTGCATTGTAAACATGTTCAGGGTTCTTACCTCTTGGGGAAGAGGGGGAAAGATATCTTAACTCACTGGAAGAGGTCTTGAGAGAGAAGGAAGACAATTTAAATCCATTGGCCTTTTGCTTATCTGAGAGAAAAGGAGGATTTCTGAATGGCATTTTCAACCTCTCCCCTGTTCTGCAATATTAACAGTGAACTAGATTGCTAGGCTACCATATGCTCCTCTGTCCCAGCAACCGTTCAGCCTGCAGAAGGGGTATAACATCTTACTATTCATTCAGCCCAGCCTTCAGACTTGGGATAACTAATAGATTATACCAATACAGGGCTGTTTTGAACGTCTAAGATTTTGCTCAGCCTGCAATAGAAGTCTAACACCTCAGCACAACTCTGCAGGGTTCATAAAGGTAAAGGTAAAGGTTTCCCCTTGACATTACGTCCAGTCATGCCTGACTCTAGGGGGCGGTGCTCATCTCCATTTCCTAGCGGAGGGAGCCAGCATTTGTCCGCAGAAAGTCTCCGTGGTCAGCATGACTAAATACCGAAGTGCACGGAAAGCTGTTAACTGCCCACTGAAGTGGCACCTTTTTATCTACTTGTATTTGCATGCTTTCGAACTGCAAGGTTGGCAGGAGCTGGGACGGAGCAACAGGAACTCGCCCCGTTGTGCAGATTCGAACCGGCCTTTTGATCAACCAGCCCAGCAGCATAGTGGTTTAAACCACTGCGCCACCTGCAGTCCACCTGCAGGGTCCATAGAAACCCCTTAAAGAGCAACCCACAGTGTTCAGTGTGAACAGCCACAACACCTTCGGACCCATAGTGTGGGGACAATAGTCTGCTTTTGCCTTGGTAATTGCTTTAACAGGGTTATTCTTGAAATGTTTCACACTGAGTCAAAAAGAGCAAGCATGTTTCTATTCACAGTTCTCTTTTTGAGTTTTTTGGATGTCTGGTCCCCACTACTTTAAAGTCTCTGTTTTCCTCATTGATTTCTCACTTATATCCCTTGACTTATTTTAAAATAGTTTCAAAAATATGACCTATATCTAGAAAACAATACCATTCCCTCTGTCCTTTTTATATCTATATATGTCTTGCTACTTCATTCCATTCCACCTCCCTGCTGGTTTCCTTTCCTTGCTCATCATTCAGTGAGTGGTTTGTCTTTTAAAACCCTAAATCTTCATCTGACAGATTTCTGACTTGTGGATCTACTGTGTACTTTAGTAGAAGCCCAAGATCAGAGCCAGGTGCAAAAGACAAACCATGAAAATGAAAGAAGCCAAAGAATTTGTTTTCTGTACTAGAACTGTGCCAAGCTCACAGTTCTTTCATGCAAAATCTGTCCCTGATTACCTTAAGCTTCAGCAGCCAAACTTCTAAGGGGAA